TGACATCGATGTCACCCCTCCACCAAGGCTCAGGGAACAAGGATGTAAGGAGAGTGGGGAGTAGTGCTGGGGAATGCTGGCTTCTGCACATGGGGGTAGGGGGGGCACTTGCACATAGCTGTGGTTGCCTGTAGGAGATCAGACAGTCAACATCCCAGCAGGGGTGAGGAAGAAAGTCTTGCAGCCCGCCTCTAGCTGAGGGGCTATTGGCAGCTGATGGCTACTGTGGGGTGGAGAGTCATTTCTCTTTGGGAGTGTGGCCATTGGTAGGTTGCCCACGATCCATCCAGGGGATTGCCACACGTGCATGCTCATGTAGATGGCACTAATTGGATTTGGTGGGTTCTATCTTTAAAGAGAGGAGGAGGCAGAGTAAAGGAAGAGGAGGCGTGTAGGAGAGAAAGAGCAAGAGGGGTATGGGGTGGACATAACCAAATACGTTGTATACTTGCTGTGAAACCCTCAAAGAATAAACAGAAATGCTATTTTTAAAAATATATATCTGAAGCCAGGCAGTGATGGCACACACCTTTAACCCCAGCACTTGGGAGGCAGAGGCAGCTGAATCTTCATGAGTTCAAAGCCAGCCTGGTCGACATAGTGAGTTCCATGACAGCCAGCGCTACACAGAAAAACTCTATTTTGAAAAACAGAAAAAACGAGAGAAAGACAGCTTCAGACTTGAGGTGTAACTTAGCTGTAGAATACTTGTCCTGTGTTTAATCCTCAGTGTAGTTATTTATGTAGTTAATTAGAGACGTGGCCCCCGGGATGTGTTCATTCTGAGCTCATCTATGAGAGCCCATAAAATGTGGGAACCTGGTAGCAATTCTATAGCATTACACACTTGTATTGGCTCAGCCCTAAAAGGATTGCCGGGATGTGGAGTCTACTATCTTGATGCATGATAAATCAATAAAGATTTATTTCAGATATCTAGTAGCAACGAGAAGTGATTGTGCATTGTATACTGTAGCTCTCAATGGACTCTATAATTAGTTGCCTTTCATATTGATTTCATTTTAATGTCTTGAGATGGATGCATTCATATATATATCATGAGAAGATCAATTATGAGCAAGCCAAAAATGTGTTTGGAATATTTCCTAAACATCTTTAAATACCTTCTTTATCTCTTTGCCTCAGTATTTGACCAATTAAGTTTTAATTTGTTCTGTCCAACCACACAGTCCAGGATTTTTTTTTTAAATGTAATTGCTGTAATACAAAGAAGGCATGAGTAAGAAGCAGAAAAATGGGGCTGCCATCCAATCCTTTCAATGGGAAAATTCCCAGAAATGTGGGAAACTGCCGGAAACGCCTGGTTAATGTAGCTGGTCACGCAGATTCCAGCTGAAGGCCAGAAGGCTCCCACTGGTTCCCACTCTGAGGCAACTCCACTCTGGGGAGCAAGGCCAGTCCCTCCAAGCCAGCAGCTGTGAGAAAGACATGAGGATGCTACTGTGGCCAGGACAATGTCCAAAGCCCTGTCCTCTCTAGGACTGTGTGCCTTCTTGCTGAAAAAGGTGCCTGTGAGAAGAGAGCGGTAGGGCCTTCCCATGCTTGGCGTCACTAGCTTGTCACCTCCTGGAGGCAGCACTTAGAGTGTCCTTGCATCCGTCCGTCCGTTTGCCACCTTACACAGCCCTTGTGCCTAGCCCCCAGAGGACACCACATGATGCCAATGCCATTATTACCATTCTGATGGGTTACTTACAGTAGAACAGCAATTCCACTGACAAAGTCAGAAAGAGCATTTGAAATGCAGCTTCCTTTGCAATCTTCCCCCACAGACTGGATAGCACAGCGCTGAGCTGGGTTTTTCCCAGTTGAGCCTGAGACCTCTCGGGATGTGGAGGAATCTGGTCTGTGAGGAATTTGGTGACTTGTGGAGAGTTTAGGTGCTCTCTGCTTCCGTTCTGGTGTGGGGTGCTATGACAAGCAGGAAGTTTGGCCCTCACTGTTAAGGGAACACTTTACCAAGAATGCTGGAACACAGCCATTTCCTCCAGCCTTCTTTAAAAAAAAAAAATGCTGGAACACCAATCAGCTCAACAGCTGCATTCTCAGAATGCTTAAGACAATGTTCATCTTTCACTAGACTGTGTGTCTGAGAAGAAAGTCTGTTGGTTGGCCTTGCCTCTGCATGGTCCCTGGGAGCCTGGGCCGTTTGAAGTGCTGCCCTACCAGGGTGGAGAGTGTAACTTCATCCTTGTGGTGCACACATACACACATACAAACAAGCACACACACACACACACACACACACACACACACACACACACACCC